TCTCTATAAAAATAGCTCTGGTAGGGGGAAGACGTAATGTGTAAATTAAAATTTTCGGGTTTTGAGAATCTGGACAGTAAAGCCATGGCAGGAGCAGCTCAGTAGGAGAGAGATCAGAGGGGTTGGCAGAGTCACCAGCCATGTGGCCCTGGGCCTCTCTATTCCTCTAGACATCATAGCCTAAATGAGAGGTGGTGGCTAACCTCCCTCTCAAGGGAACTGAAAGACTGGGGCTTAAGCCCAAGTGACAATTTCACAATTCAACTACTTTGCCAAGATTTGGCTTGACCTCCTTGCCCAGTGGTTCTTGAGTTTTATCACTAACTGATCTCTTGTATTTGGGCTCTGGGGCTTTTAAAGACAACATAATGTTCATGCCCCCGAATGTGGTCGGGCATCAATGTTTTCACTACCCTTCATCCCTGGCAGGATATCACATGGCCAGATTTTTCTTAGGAATAAAATCAACACTTTTACATCAAATTACTTAATAATGTTAACATTGGATTTTGTAGAAAATATTTGAGTAATGAAAATGTATGGAAAATAGATGATTTGGGGCTCTTGAACTTTCTAAGGAGCCACTGGAAAACTAGGTTCACTCATCTGATGAGATGTATTGAGCCCCTGTTGCAAATTCCTCTGAGCACATTGGTGGTGGTGGTGTGTGTGTGTGTGTGATGAAAAGCCGCTGGGAGGCTGCTCCGGGTGTGGCAAGCCTTGAGCAAGGGCCATGGCACAATTTGGTTCAGAAAACACAGACCATATGAGGGGCTGTGCCTGGGCTGGGCTCAAGACACATCTGGAGGTTACTTCAAAAGTAGAACCCTGAGGTGATTTGTTTCCTGTCGCTTGTCTGAGGACTTGGCACAAAGAGCAGAGGTGCTGGTGACAGACACATCAGGGTGGATCCCAGCCCTCCATTTACTAGTTCCACATCTCCCTTGAGAAAGATGAGTGTCTCAGTTTCCACACCTGCAAAATGGAATCCCTCCCTCCTTGCAGGATGCAGAGGATTAGATATACGGGTGTAAAGTGCTTTGCATAGTAAGACGCAGAGCAATTTAATAATTGGTAGCTATTACTATTAGGTTTTTTTTCTTTTCTTTTTAGGCAGTTGGCTAGTACAGGGATCAAACCCTGGAGCTTGGTCTTATCAGCACCATGCTCTAGCCAACTGAGTTAACTAGCCAGCCCCTACTATTAGTTTCTTAAAGGGTAGAAAAATTCAGAAGAAATTTGAGTTCAAGACCCAGTTAAACAATTTTCACTAACAATTTTATTTGTAAGTACATTAAATTTGTGGAGACAGTTTCTAGCTTTATCTCCCAAATATTTTTTAAGTAGTTAAGCTACTTAAAAAAAATAACAATGCTCTCATCCATTTCAAGCCACAAGAAAACATGTCAAGTAGTGTTTCTGGGTACAGATTCTGGGGCCAACCTGCCCAAGTTTGAATCTTGGCTCTGCCTCTTACTAGCAGTGTGAACTTGGCCAATTTATTTAACTTAATCTGTTTGTACCTGAGTTTGCTTATCTGTGAAATGGGGATAATAATAGTACTTTGTAAAGATTAAATACGTTAATATGCAGGTAAATCTCTTAGTACAATACAAGGCATATTGAAAAGGCTGTGTAAGTGTTAACTATTATTACTACCATAAAAGTACAGTTGGGGGCCGGCCCGGTGGCGCACTGGATAAGTGCGCCGCTTGGGAAGCGCGGCGGCGCTCCCGCCCAAGGGTTCGGATCCCACATACAGACCGGTTCCTGCTCACTGGCTGAGCGAGGCGCGGGAGCAACGCCAAGGGTTGCGGTCCCATTGCCGGTCCCCGGTCCGGTGCGGGGGCAACACTGAGGGTTGCAATCCGTTGCCGGACACGGAAAAAGACAAAAAAAAAAAAAAAGTACAGTTGGCTCTCCATATCTGAGGGTTCGGCATCTGCAGATTCTACCAACTGAAGATCAAAAATATTAAAAAAAAAAAGAAGAAGAAAAGAAACAAAGAGACTGCCTGGGAATACCAGGTGTTGCAGGCTTTAAAAAACCAAACAAAAAAAATAATACAACAATACAAAATAATACAAATAAAAAAGCAATACAGTATAACCATTTACATAGCATTTATATTGTATTTGGTATTATAAGTAATGCAGGGATTATTTAAAGTTTAAGGGAGGATGTGCATAGGTTACATGCAAATACTACATACACCATTTTACATCAGGGACTTAAATATCAATGGATTTTGGTATCTGTAGTGGGTCCTGGAACCAATTCCTCTCAAATATGAGGGGGAATAATACCAAGTAATGCAACTGTAGACAAGCCATAGCTCTCATCAACAAGAGCCAGGAAAGCCTCTGGACAGGGCTCAGGGGCGAGGCATGTCCCCACCTCCCAAGGTGGCTGGCTCTAGGTAAATCCCAGTTACTTAGGGGACCTTGCTTACCCCTCTGCAGATGATTGTTACCCCTGCTCCTTCCTTTCCCCACTCTGCAGGACACCAGTACTCAATAAATGTTTGCTAACAGTCCGCGATTTTTAGGAGGGAGAAACAAATTCAGAGTGGGATGGCGACTCATCCAGGGGCTCAGCAGCACTGGGAGTGCGATGGCAGGTGGAGAAAACCTTCACTCTCCAGCTATTTCAGTCCAAGCTCTGTCCTGAAGTCCCATCTCCCCTCTCAATTGTACCTCCTTCCTCTGCTCTGCCTCCACCGTACTACGTGGGTCTTCTCCAAGAACTGCCCTCCTGGAGTAAACAGCAGAGGCCCGGTGGGAACACGACAGGGGCCTTGGACTTTGGCACCTGAGCATCAGCTGTACTGAGGCCACAGGCTGGCTTGGGTTGATGATCTAGGTGGCCAACAGCCCACTGAGATGGAGGTGAGGGGAAACGTGGGCTCTGCTCTCACACCCCACATAGCTTCTGCTTCAAATAATTAAGCTCCAGTATCCTCTCTGATGAGGTTTGGTGCTGACACCAAAGGAGTCTTCAGGGGCATTACTGAGGGAGGGAGAGTCTTGCTGGAGTCTGAGGGAGCGCTGGCAGCCTGAGCTCTTCTTAGTGGATGTGGAGTCCCTCCTCTCCTCTGCTCTTTGGTGCTCCTCAGCTCATTCATTTCACTTTGGGTAAGTCCAGTAATCACCAGCATCGCCAATGGATCTTCTCAGACATAGGACTTAAAGCCAAGAATTCTTTGACCAGTGTCTTGGTTTCTGTGGTTCCCAGATCCCTTGTCTGTGCCTGGATTATAAACTACTGAACACAGAGGATCCTTAAAGAGATGAAATGAGGTAACAGACCTCGTTCTGCTGTAGTACTCCGTCCAGATGGCACCTCATCAAGCTGGGCAGCAGCACTCTGCTTACGTGAATGCCACCTCCTCTCTGCTTGCTTCTCAGGGGCATCTGCTAGGCTTATTCACCTGACACATGGTAGGCACCCACAAAATTAAAACCAACTCCCAGGCCAGATCTGGTCTACAGACTGGTTTTATTTTTGCCTATAGAATATGTAAAAAATTTTTTGATTTGTTGTTGAAATCAGGAGATTTCATACAAAAATCTGGATTTCTCCAGATTCTCTGGAAAATGTTAAAGATGGGACACCAGGACCCATATTCCTGCACAGTGACAATCTACTAGCATCTAGGAGAGGCTGCTACTTTGAGATAAATGCTCTCCCCTCCACCTGTCTCCATCGCTCCCTCTCTCGCACCTGAATCACTCCCACTTCACTCACTGATATGACCTACCTGGTTCCTGGAGGCAGCTGAATTAATAGCTCCTGTCGGTGACTTTGGTGTAAAAGAAGCAAAGGTCTCCAACAAAGACTGCTGACAATACATGTTTGCGGCAAAGGCAGCATGCTTGTGGCAAAGGTCTTGCAGGGCAAACAGCATGAACTAGATAGTAGGCACCTCTGGAGAGATTCACATGGGGGGCCAACGGCAGAGATGTTAGGTTGATTTGGCTGCAATCAGTCCTTTTTCCGGCCCACCCTCTCTGGTGAGAATAGGTGACAGTATGCCATTGTGTAAGAAGAAAGGATAGGGGTGGGCACTTGGCTTTACTGAACCACTGTCAGGCATCAAGGAAAACACTTCTTGGCCTCCCCATTCAATTATTCTAAGCATCTGGGCCGGCCCCGTGGCTCACTCGGGAGAGTGCGGTGCTGACAACACCAAGTCAAGGGTTAAGATCCCCTTACCGGTCATCTTTAAAAAAAAAAAAAAAAAAAAATTATTCTAAGCATCACCAGGAAACTAACCAAAACACCCAACAAAAAAAAAGGAAAGGGGAGGTGGAGGTGGCAAAGAGAGCACGTCATTCCAGGCTGAAGCGCAGAGTGTGCACAAGCATGAAGGTGCAAAGCCACTGGGGGTTTAGGAAGGGCCTGAGCCGGGGGTGTGGCAGGAGATACAGCTGGAAAGATGGCAGTTGCCATGTTAAGACAGGGAGCTGTGTCGGAAAGATAGCAGTTGCCATGTTAAGACAGGGAGCTGTGTCTGAAACCAAGGGGTGAGGATGTAAGGAAACAATTCATGGCTTGGGGCTTCTGCTTTGAGAAGGATAATTAACTCCAATATTAAACAACATTCGTGTTGGGAGAATTTCCCAAGATGGCGAGGCACCATTACCCACCCTGATTTTTAATGTGGATATGAAACTAACCCCTAAAAAAAACCCCTCCAGAGTAGAGGCTTTCAAACCATCTTTAGGATTTTTCAAACTAGATTTTTCTCCCAGAACATCGTTACATAGAAAGCTGGTCACATTTGCAATGGAGCTGATCTGGTGATGCGGGCTCAGGAGGCCCCGATCCCATCCTCAGGGTCCTCTCTATGGAGCGCTACAACACCACAGGGTAGAGTTCAAAGACCACTGCTCTTGAGGACAAATTCCTTTTAAAAAGCAGCACAAGCCCCCTAACTGAGAGTTCCTTTTGCCTAAGAAGCCAAATGCTCCTATAGAGATGAACAGTTCCACTTCCTGTTGCCACATTTTTAACTATTTATTGAGTGAGGCTATAATAGACAGAATGGAAAACAACACAGATCCATGCTCTGCTACTGGGGTTTTGTTTTTTTTCTTCTTCTTGGCAACTTCTCAAACTATTAGGAGGTTATTTCACCACAAAGGAACACGGACTTTAAAGCCCCTGGACAGCTTCACAATGATGATAAAAAATAATAATTAAAAAAATAACAGACTGTAGAACTAGGACTGTTTATATGGAAATATCCCTTCCCTACCCCCATTATGTACAGAAAAGAACATACAAACAACATTGGATAGTTTTATATAAAACAAGCAAATACAAGAATCTGAAACTTTTCTCAAAGGCTGAGCAAGACATGAAGAATTTTTTAATGTCGCATTAAAAAAACATTAAATACACTATCACACACGTGGGGGGACCTGGGAGGAGGGAGGAAGAGCTGTCCCTGTACTCACGGAGCAGAGATTTGGCCTGTTGAAACGTCAGGTGAATTTAGCCACTGGATACTCAGGGCTTGCAGCTGAGAAAGCCCAGAACTTAATGGTTACAAAGAATACCAAGACCAATCAACACCTGTGAGTCGCAAAGCTGTTCAGGGCTTGGGCCACCAGAATGCACCCAGGAAATTGGGCCTCACAGTGTGCCTTCTGAAGCAGGCCAGATCCAGGAAGGCAGGAAGCATCCTCAGCTCTTTTCTCTTCTAAAACATGCCTTTTGTGATGGCCAGTCTTCCATGGACTAGGTGTCCTTTTCAGTTCCAGAGTCTCCTCTGTTAAGCTACAGAAAGTTACAGCTATAGACAGCTAGAGAAAATTGCTCCCATTGGTGTACCTTGGTCTATGAAGATTTTTCTCTCCCTTCTTCCTTTCCTTTCCAACCCCTCCCACCCCCTTCCCATTCTCTGCCCCACCCCCCTCCACACACTCACAAGCACACTTAACACACACACACTCCTCAAACCCTTAATACTTCTGTTACCTTTAGTTCATATACATGACCAATTCAGGACTGACCTTAAAACCAAAGCAACATTTTAATAGTCATGAGATCAAGAGGATTCCAGGGAAGGGAAGGAGATGGGAAGCTGAGAAAAACCCTCTTGTCCCTGTCTGGGAGCTTTTAGGACATTCATCTGCATGTGGCAAGGTCAGCACCTGGGCCAGCCCAAGGAGCATCTCAGCTGGCAGACCATGCGGCCCCTGGACCTTGCAAGCACATTTTCTGGACCCCACTCTGTACTGGAACCTCCCTTCTCAGGTGAGTCCAGCAGGGAGAGTTCTAGGTGGCCACTGGGAGGCAGCTTTGGTGAAGGGCATGGTCACCTCCGCCTGAGTTTGTCAGTAGCTCAACGCATGACCCTGGTATGAACAAATACCGGGTGACTGTGTCTGGCCACGTACCCTACCACCCACTAAACTGGGTGAATTATTGTTTCCACAGCTCACCTTGACTTCATACAGATAATTCCATGCGGGTTTCATACATATATATGTATATATATACTTTATATATATGTAAATGTGTATGTCCATATGTACACATATACATATATTCACACACACATACACACACATAGTATACACACACGTTTCTGCAGAAAGAAGTCCTGCCACAATTTGGCTTTTTTGGGACAGTGAAATTGACAGCACAGTTTCTTACTCCACCAATCCCAGAAAACCAAGAGTGGTGCTTTAAAAAATGCAATTCCAAAATCCTCTGCTTTTCTTCCTTTAAAAAAAAAAGGTTAACAAAACTTTTCTTCCAAAGTCGAGAGACTTATTAATTCCTTTTGATTGCACCTCTGCGAACGTGTAAAAAATCTTGAAGTAGACTAGAAAACGATGCCCCAATACAGCTGCATGTCACTGTTCCAATGTCACCACCTCCACAGCCTGGCCATCCACGGTGACCGTGCTGTCCGATATCCTGGTGGTCACGGGGGCCATGGCCACCTGCACTGGCCCATTGCCCTGGGCGAGGCTGGTTACCACAGTCTGGTACATGCTCACAGGGATCTGGACCAGGCCTGGGGAGACAAAGGGAAGACCATTGGTGGGGCTCGTGCTCAGTTCCCAGATGCTGGCTAGACAGGGGAATCCAGCTGTTGCCCTGCAGGGTATCACTGTCTGCCAGCCCCAGGTGACACTATACCCACTGTCCAGGCACAAATACATCTCTTTTCTCACCCCATTTTAATTTTTTTTTTAAACAGACTATCAGAAAATAACAGTTTGGAGAAATTGTGAAAACATGCCTCAGGGCAAGGCCTTCCCAACTTGCCAAAAGAAGACCCTGTCTGCCTCCACCTTTAGGAAGCACAGGCCCATCAGGTATGTGTTCCCACCTCTGCCACTCCTTCCCCAGCCATCCCCTCTGACTGCTTTCTTCCTCTAGAACAGTCCACCATTACTTTCCCTTAACATTCTACTACTCTGCTTTCGTCCACCCTCTTTCTGCCTATGCTCAAGTTTCCCTCAGCTTGAAAAGTAAAAACTTCTCCCTCTCCTATCCTATCTTCTGGCCACTGCCCCATCTATGTCTCTACCTTCAGAGTCGAGCTTATTTTTTAAAAAAAAGCCTAGGTCGTTGGTTTCCTGCATTTAAGATTTTATAGAGCAGTAAAATTTAAAAACATATTTTGGTGTCAACCGAAAAAAACCAAAACAAAAACTCAACTTTCTCCTAATATCACTATTATTTCAAAGTAGAAAAGATGGTTTAACATAAAGATATAATCTCAGAAAAGGGTAGTCCTTTCTAAAAAAGGAAAGTTGATAACTTTATATGATATATTTAAAAAAGGATTTCCAGTTAAATTAAAGCAGAATAAACGTACATAGCAATCTTCTCTTCGTTCTGGAACTGGAATTACAGGGAGTAAGGAAAAAAGGATATAAAATGAGAGATGCCAACATATTTTTGGAAGATGGAAAGCAAAGGTAAAGTGCTTCCAATTTACCAGAAGTGGAAGCCGCAACTGCTATGCCTGCAGAGAGCTCAGGCCATGAGGCCTGGCTACTGCAGAAGGGGATGGAAACAGGATTAGTGGAAAGTACATATTTAACTGCTTAGACCAGTACGTCCCCCTAACCCCAACACCCTGACACACAGACCTTTGCCAACAGGATGTCTGAGGTTTAGTGTGAGTTTCCCAGTGTACTGAGAAACTGACCTGGACAGGCCCAAAGAAAAGATCTATAGTGATATTTGGTGGGTGGGGAGGTGGGGAGACAATGGAAAATCTGGACTGCTGTCCTAATGCTAACCCCGAGAACTACAGGTCACCTTGCTCTGCCCCTGCACACCCTGACAATCAGTGCTTCAATGTCCCACTCTTAAGGAACACAGAGGTACACAGGAGCAGCAGAGACAATGTGGAGAGCAGAAGGAACAAAAACAAATGTGCCCAAACTCTTCCATCCTCAGAGAGAGAAGAGATTTGTACCGTAAAAATGGGATGCTATAAAAATGGAATATGAGAAAAATTTTTAATGAAAAATCCAATAGATGAAATACATTCAAAAGAAGATCAGAAGTCAAGGAAATCTTCTAGAGAGTAGAAAAGATTAAAAGGTGGAGAGTAGGAGAAAAAATATGACACTTAAGAGGTCCATCCTCTGATAAAAGACAATAGAAAAAATCAGCTACATAAGTAAGTTTCTAGAACTAAAAAAAAATATGAGTTTCAGATTGAAAAGGTCCACTTGATGCCCAGTGGAATAGATGATAGAGAGACCCAGACACCAAGACACACATCTTTGCAAATTTTTAGAACACCAGGGATAAAGCAAAGATCCTAAAAGTTTCCAGAAAGAAAAAAAAAAAGTCACATACAAAGACCAGGAATGAGAACAGTGTTTGACTTCTCAACAGCAAAATTAATAGCTAGAAGATGATGGAGCAGTGCCTTCAAGTGTCTGGGAGAAAATGCTTTCAGCCTAGAACTCTCCACTCAGCCCATGAAATGATACCATATCAATTAAGCATGAGGACAGGATAAAGACATCTTCAGATGTGTAAGGGCTCAAAAAACTGGCCACCCACGCACGCTTTCTCAGGAAGAGCTGAAGGATGTGCTCCACAGGAGCGAGAGAGAAAACTGAGAATGAAGCAGCCGTGGCTCTAGGGGACAGAGAGCACATTGTGGAGCACATTGTGGAAGGGTACTCTGGGGGAAGAGGAGGCGCCCAGGACAAGGGCTACGCGGCAAGTCTGAGAGCAGGACGGAGCCCTCGGGGGGGAAATGGCATGACCGTGTGGGAAAGAGTACAGAGAGAGGTTGTCCAGAGAAGAATTGGATAGAACTGGTGATCACTAGTTAAAAAGTAGAAGCCCCCCTCCACCCCACCCCACCCCCCAAAAGCAAGTATTAACTTGAAAATAAAAGTTGTACAAAAAGGGAAATGTAATCATAATAACTATAATACACTCATCTTGGCAGTGAACAACTTTTATGTGTTTATAACAATATAAACACAGATACTAAGTTATCCAAAATTTATGATAATGTCTCAACTCAAAAAATAATGATATAAGTCTAATATGTAGAGCAATAAGGATATGTACCAGAAAAAAGAGCAAAAATATTGCCTGTGGGGTACAGACTTTTTAAAAAAAAATCTTTTATTTCTCCTTTGGAGGGTCTGTGTGCTAATTTTAATTATAGTTTTAAGACACTGCCTTTTCCGCTTACAATCCAGTGCTCATAAAGTACAATGTTGGGGCTGGCCAGTTAGCACAGTTGGTTAGAGCACAGCCTTATAACACCAAGGTCATGGGTTCAGATCCCTGTGCTGGCCAGCCACCAAAAAAACAAAAAAATAAGAAATAAATGAAAAGCACTATTATTTCCTTTCCCTGCGCACATATTCCATAGTCAAGTACCGAGGATGCCCTGTAATCAAGTATAGCAGCTCCACTTTAAAACTGCCACAGAATTTGCTACAAATCTGAGTTCTTCGATCCCGCTGTGTGGAACCAACACTATTACATCCATCCTCCTGCTGGCTTAATCAGTGCTGGGCCCAGAGGTAGAATCACCAGATGGAGGTGCTCCATCACCAGGGAAGCCCCACTTTTAGTCTTTTTGACATTTAAACCATATGCTACTTTGACAAAAATAAAAATTAATTTTAAAAAGGAGTATCAAAATATTTTCCAATGGAAAAAAAATAAAACATAAAATGTTATTTTATAAAGTTAAATTGGATGTAGCTGTTTTCTAGGAGTAAGTTTTGCTAGTTTAGGGATAAGTATTTGATGATGCAACATGAAATGGGATTTGATGCTTTGTTTTGATGATAGTCACTTTTAAGAAATGTTGGCTCACCCCAGGGTGTAACAGAAACGGATGGCACGGCCAGCCCCCACACGCTTGAGATGCTGGGGCCTGAAAAGAGGAAGAGAGGGGCCAGCACACACTCGCACATGGGACTGGGAGGAGAGCAGCCTGAGGGGCCAGGCACTGGCTTCAGAAGGTTGTGGGGTTCAATTTCTTTCATCTAACCCTTGCAAATGGCTCTTAAATGTTTCTTTTTGGGCCGGCCTGTGGCTCACTCGGGAGAGTGCGGTGCTGATAGCACCAGGGCCACGGGTTCGGATCCGAACCCATGGCCTTGGTGTTATCAGCACCGCACTCTCCCATGTGAGCCATGGGCCAGCCCCTAAATGTTTCTAATCAATCCCTCTTTCAGTTCATCCCTCCCTGCCACCCAAATTATCTTTCCCTACCATGTTACTCCCCTAATTTCAGACTTTCAAATACCGTGATGTTAAAAAGCTTCTCAAAGCCTACAATAAAGTTCAAATGCTTTAACATGGTATTCAAGGCCTTGTATGATTTTACCTGGTCTATCTTTCCAGTCTCATTTCTCCTACTCTCTCATGGGTACCCTGTGCTCTGGGCGCACACCTGGACTACTCTCAGTTCCTCAGTACACTGGTCGCACTCCTTTGTCTGGGCCTTTGCTCAAGTTGTTCGCTACACAGAATTCTCTTACTCTCCACTCCTTCCCCTTTAAAATTTGGTTCAGTTGTCCCTCCTCTTGGAAGCTGCCCATCCCAGCCCCAGCCAATGCTCAGAGCAGTCTCCTCTGGATTCTCAGTAGGCACTGGGACAGTAGTGTATAATCTGGCTTGCATCAATTAATGTATGTATATAGGCCTTCCCACTTGACTGAGGATTCCTTCAAGGCCAAGCCTGGCTCTGGTTTATTTCATACTCCCCACAGTGTGAAGTACATGGTGTGCCACAGGATGGCATCAACATAGCCTGAAGGGCAACAGGACAAAGGAGTCTACTGCTGGTCTTAACCAGTGTGCAGCTGATTCCTATTCCCTATGGGGCCTATAGACTAATCATGGTCCTAGAGTATATGCAAAAACCATATGACCCCGTTAGTCCCCCACTTCATCCAGTGTACCATGATCATCATCACTTCTATATTCTACTATGGTCAAAACAGTCAAAGTTAATGAAGTAACCCAAAATGCGCAGTGGCAAAGCCAGAACACCTGTGTGATCTTCCAAAGAACCCACATGCTGGCAAAGAGCAACCAAAACCAGAAGCAAAGACCAGTCTCATTTCATTGCTCTTGCATCTGGGCTTGATTCAGTTCCAAAAGCTTCAAACTTGGGAACAAGTCAAATATTTTACAAATATAGTGACTACTGTGAGCAGGGAGAGCCTTTCTAATTAGGGCTGGGGTGGATAGAAACTTAAAGAATTGTCAAAATTAAATCTCTCTCACCCTGGCTTATGATGTGTTTGGGTTCCCTGTGATGTGGGTCCATGCTCAATACTGTTTTTAAAACAGTTTTTAGTATCATGGAGGATTTGCCCCAAAATAAAATGAAAAAGGTTCAAATTCAAAAATATATTGGCTGAAACTCCTATAACCAGAAAGATTTTTGGAACATACAAGCTGATCTTGTTGCTCTCCTTTATAATTCTTCAGGGGTTTCCAATGGCCAATGGGATGTTAAGTCCAAATCCCTCTGCAGGTATTCAAACCATTTACATCAGC